ACCATAGCACAGCAGCATCATCCTGCACAAGTGCACACCATGATGATCTATCATGGGGCTACTACCGAAACGCCACAATTCAGCGACAGCAAATGTCCTGACCGCCGGTCAGCAGCATACTCCTGCAGGTGCATGTGACTCTCAAGATGACAGGGGAGTCATCTTGCTGGCAGACTAACTTGCGAATCAAGCAACATGGGCTCCTGAAAAAAAGATTGATCGACTTGGTTGTGCCGGTCAGACTAAAGAGCTCCAGCTTCATGCGAACACCCATATGCAGGTAGAGACGAGGCTAATAGCACAAAATCCTGAAGTCAAGGGCAGAAGCCCAAGCTGTGGAGATGCTCAGAGCATGGACCAGTTTGGTCTGTCATATGCTGCTTAAATCTGCAGTTTTGCGATTGTTGGTTTGATGAGATTGCGCAGTTGCTACTAAAACAAACCACTGGCACAGGATGTGGCAGCTTAATATTCAAAATTACGCATAGCTTTGACAATGCAAATCTGTGAGACCTGGGCTGAGGTTCTTGGAAGCAGGCAAGACAATGTTGTCATCAATGATTTGTTGGTTTAGTGGTGGCCACGGAGTGCACATTTGTGATCCTACCTGCTGCTTCTTCTTCTTCTTCTTCTTTGAAACCCGCACGCGGGGCCTGCGAATCCACTGAACAGAATTGCAATGCAAGCAAGAGAGACACTTAATGGGGGATCCCATTCTGACTCAACTGGCTTGACTGCTGATTCCGATCACAGCTCTGTTTGCTTGAGCGAGTTGCAGCTAAATCGGACTGGCATAAGAGGCATCCAAGGCTCGTAATCAAGTTTTGGACCATTTTGGGTTTTCTCCAGGAATTTGGGCTCCCTGCTTGTCGGAATCCCCACCAGGGCGAAGCCCCCCTCATGCTGGCGGTTAAAGTGAATGCTTGACAAGAGCTCTGAGAATAGCATACGAACTTGCCAAAAATTGACTGCACAGGATTCTCTGAATGTGAAGGTGCATAACATCAGAAACTTGGCACAAGTGAGCTTTGGGCTTTAGGATTTTGCGTCAAGTCAAAAAATGTTCACGCTGCTCTACGCAGCAAAGTTCTGGTAGTCACAGGAGCAAGCCCGGAAATGGGTTTGCCTCTGTCAATATGGAGGCAGCGCTTGCATCTGCTCTGGCCAACTTGCCAGGCCAGCAGTCTGGCTCTGCCACGTGCGGCTGTTAAAACGCGGTTATCATCCGTGCGCTGGCGCAGGCGGAAGCATCAACATCAGAGGGCATGCAGGGCAACAGCATGCCAATCACACTGCGGCTTTACCGTCCAGGCATGTTTTGCGATCACTCATGCAGAAGATTGCAGAAGTTTTCTCAACGTCCAAGTCCAGCTGACTCCACATCTGTCCAAGACATCGCGCACTCGGGCCAAACAAGAAACCGCTACTAGCTGCATCTGTATCTTTACGAGCGCAACAGCGTGTCTACCGTCTGGAAGTATGTGTCCGAAGTGCGAATAACGCGTTGCACATACGTTCTGATTCTGTTTCTCAGGTAGAGCTGCGTGATTCGCACCTGCTGATCTCCTACATGGCTTGGAACCGGGCAAAAGGAACAAGGAGGAAGACAGCAACAACCCTTCCTTCCATGTGGGATGCGCCTCCCGCAACGCGGGGAGGATGGGGCTACACAATTCCAGCCGTTTACATTACATCCCAAAGCTCGATGGCTCCTGTCGGTGGGGCAGATCGCCACGGAGAGGACGCTCTCCTCGTGAACCTGCACTGGCTGCTTCCTTGTTCTCAGTAGCAAGAAGACACTTACCAAGGTCCGGACTACTTTCGCCTCGTTGGCCAACATTGACATGGATACCATGACAGGAAAGCAGGCCCTAGGCCAATGACCCAAGCATCGTCGACAGCGGGGCCGGCTTCCTGGACTTCACTCAAAAATATGGCAAATTAGAGTATACTATAGTCTATTCGGGTTTCCTCGGAATAATGGAAAGTAAAATGGAAACTAGGTCGACGGTGGGTATTCCGCCGTGGCTCGAAAGCCGCTCGAGGTCCAAGAGAAATGCAGACAGGAGTTTGATCGCTTGGAAATTACTAGTATTTTCAGCATACCTTAGGAGAAGGCACGATTTAAGAGTATTTTCCCTGCAGAAAACGCGTTTCGTATTGTAAAATACAATACGAACTCTGTTTTTTTGAACGTTGCGAACTACTTTAGTTTTTTAAGGATAGCATGGAAATTCCCAAGCGAACAACGTTGTCGTTAGGACAGAGTGTTTTCCTATTATGCTCTTGAAACACGAAAGTTATTACGGTTTGAGCATGGATGCACTGGTTACCGTATGCTCCTGGAACACGAACGGAATTATGGTTGGTGCATGGAATGGCATCTATGCACTGGTTGCCGTATGCTCTTGGAACAAGAACGTTTTTACGGTTTGAGCTTGGATGCACTGGCTTCCGTATGCGCCTGGAACACGAATGAACTATGCTTTGGGCATGGATGCTCTCCTACTCGCACTCCCTAGAACACGAACACGAACAGAATTATGGTTTGGGCATGGATGCACTCGTTACCATATGCTTTTGGAACACAAACGTTATTTATGGTTTGGGCATGGATGCACTCGGTACCATATGTTCGTGGAACAGGAACGGAATTATGGTGTGGGCACGGATGCACTGGTTGCCGTGTGCTCTTAGAACACAAACGGAATTATGGTTGGGGCATGGAATGGCATCTATGCACTGGTTGCCGTATGCTCTTGGAAAAAGAACCCTTTTACGGTTTGAGCATGGATGCACTGGCTACCGTATGCGCCTGGAACACGAACGAATTATGCTTTGGGCATGGATGCTCTCCTAATCCCACTCCCTAGAACACGAACACGAACACAATTATGGTTCGGGCATGGATGCACTCGTTACCATATGCTTTTGGAACACGAACCTTATTTATGGTTTGGGCATGGATGCACTCGCTACCGTATGCTCTCGGAACAGTAACGGAATTATGGTTTGGGCATGGATGCTCTCCGAATCGCATGCAATGGAACACGACCACGAACGGAATTATGCTTTGGGCATGGATGCACTGGCTACCGTATGCTCTTGGAACACGAGCGGAATTAAGGTTTGGGCATGGATGCAGTGGTTACCGTATGCTCTTGGAACACAAGCGGAATTATGCATGGATGCTCTCCTAATCCTAATCGCAGTCACTAGAACACGAACAGAATTATGGTTTGGGCATGGATGCACTCGTTACCGTATGCTTTTGGAACACGAACGGAAGCATTGTTTGGGCATGCATGCACTGGTTACCGCATGCTCTTGGAACAGGAACGGAATTATGCTTTGGGCATGGATGCTCTCCTACTCGCATTCACTGGAACACGAGCACGAACGGAATTATGGTTTCGGCATGAATGCGCTGGTTGACGTATGATTGTATGCTCATGGAACACGAAAGTTAAGCATGGTTTGGGCACGGATGCTCTCCTAATCGCACTCACTAGAACACGAACACGAACGGAAGCATTGTTTGGGCATGGATGCACTGGTTACCGCATGCTTTTGGAACAGGAACGGAATTATGCTTTGGGCATGGATGCTCTCCTACTCGCATTCACTGGAACACGAGCACGAACGGAGTTATGGTTTCGGCATGAATGCGCTGGTTGACGTATGCTCATGGAACACGAAAGTTAAGCATGGTTTGGGCATGGATGCTCTCCTAATCGCACTCACTCGAACACGAACACGAACAGAATTATGGTTTGGGCATGGATGCACTGGTTAGCGTATTATTTTGGAACACGCATGGTTTGTGCATGGATGCACTGGTTACCGTATGTTCTGAAAACACGAACGAAATTCCCACCGCACCTCACGAACCCCCTCGGCATACCCCCCATGTAGGGTTCGTACCACGGCGGAATATGAATCGTGCACCAACTACTACTTAGGGTTTAGGGTTTAGGGCCAAAATTTTAGGGCTTAGGGTATGGCTTTGGGAGCGTCTCGAGACTCAAAGCTGTGACCTCGTCAGAGTATATCTCGTTCTCGGGGATTACACCAACCTGACAGAGCTTGCAGGACAACCTTTCGCGTTTGCATGTTGATATTGAAATAGGAAGGGGAACTGAACAATGTTGCTTTGAAGGCTGTGACATAATCTCAATGGATCTGGCTACCCACGCGATTTGAAGTACAACCATGAGGCTACTTCTTGGCTGGCCTCCTCATCTCCCATGTCATCGCCTTCAAATACTTGCTGTAAAGCAAACAGACGGAGCACAAGGAACCGATCGTGACAGGCAATACAACGCGAAGATGCCACCTGCATCATCATCTGGCAGCTCATCATCCTTTGTTTGGCCAGAGCGGTATGACATGCGCACAACTCCTGCGAGTAGCCTCGAACTCAACTTCGAGGCAATCTCCAGTCTGAAACTCTGCATCAAGCTCCTCTTGCGGACAGCAGGCCGGGATGGCTCATCAGGACACGGACCGGCCTGCCCCTCAGCACCACCATCCCATCCAACAACTTCCATGTCCTCGCAAGTTAGTGGCCTCATCCATCTCTCTTTGCGGCGTTGTACAGACAGAGAATCCTCATCCCCAGCGGAGCCCTGCTCACGGGCCATGGCCTCAGAATTGGCTTGTCATATGCATGCCAACAGCCACACAGCTGCCTGCTGAGACACTGGCCCTGAGTCTTATAAGGAATGCGGGGACGTCGGTCTAGGAAGTTTCTGGGGTGAATCGGGATGTCTGTGGTCAGTAAATGCTTATGAGCACTCGAGACATTGAAGAGGTGGTCGATCCAATGCCTTCAAGATCCTTCAAGCTGATCTTCACAATCGCTCCCATGCCAAGAAATGATGGAGGTTGAGAACAAGAGCACATGCTGTGGGCCCAAGCGCTTGAGAGGCAAAGCGTTGAATTTCTTCACTTGAAAGTGACGTAGAAGGGCAGCCACACAGAAGAACGCGGGGGCGTGCCGCGTCCGAAATGTTGTCTCCCAGAACTTGCGCCTTAGCCGGAGTAAAGTATTCCAAGGTGGTCGGGAATCATTAAAAATAGGATCCCCAAAGAATTGATTCAAAACATCTGTCTTATCATTCAGGATCACTATCATGATGCCGACTAGTGGCAGGGCATAGTTTCGAAGGCTAAGGGCTTGGGGTCTGCGGAAATCTGCCGAAAGAAGGACCCATACTGCGAGAAACACCCATCTTTTCGCTACAATGGGCTGAGATCGACACGATGCGTTGTAGGTTAGTCACATCAATCTTCTTATCCCTGGCAAAAACAGCGGGGCATTTTGTGAAAGGGCATGTCCTCTGGAGCATTTTGGTTGGCATGAGGGCAACATATCGCAGGCCTCTGTGGCGGCTCAAGATCATCCAGGTAGTCAAAAACCTCTTGCATGTTGTCCCTGCACAAGTGCAGAGTTCCAATGTACTAGTAGGGCAAGAGGTCATTGAGAGCGAGAAGGACAAAGACGAGCGGATGCAATTTCCTGCGGCCAATTCGGAATCCGAAGGAGCTGCAAGCGTTCAAGTCTTCCCTTTGGGAAGGCCTGTGAAAGTCATGGAATCTTGCTCTGTGAACCAGAGCAACGTCTGCATTCGGAGCATTTCTCAAGAGCAAGGCATAATGATACAAAAGGCATTCAGGATTTCATGGCTCAAGCTGAGAAAGGTCAGCGGTTCCGTTTTCAGAGAATTGCTCGCGGAGTATCTGCAGCCGGTCTCATTATCAATCCAGCCAGATGGGAACAGCCTGTCGCAAAGCAGGGTGCCAAGATATCCTTTCAAGTGCTCAGGCGGCGCTCCTTTGCATGCACCTCAGCCGACCAGAATCCTTTGATTTCGATTTGGAGCTCCTGCAGCATCAAGGCGAGAGTGAGATCATGACGGAATGCTGAGGTTCGTCCTCTCGAGAGGGAGTTCAAACCCCAGAGAGGAAATCATCCAATGTGTCCAATCTCCTCAGCTTGGCGGCGAGATGCCGATGGGAGTGTGGCGATACTGCTCTTGGGCAGCAGTATATTGACTTAAACAGCTTCTTCCACACAGCCAGGGAACGCCCTTCCTCCGCTGGGAACCTGCAGAAAGAGCTTGTCTGCATGTAAGTTGCCCACTTCAGTCAAAGGCACTGACGGGAGGATGATCGCTTGCTTCTGGCAAGTCGAGGAACACCTGGCTTCAGCCGCTTCAGGCTTGCAAAAGCCTTGAGGTCCGAGGCCTCCAGTTTCCTGAGGTCCGGACATGCAGTGAGGTCACACGCTTCTCCGTTGGAGCTTCAGAGGCTTCTGTGGAGATCATTGACGGCGTCTCCTGCATGCTTGCTATCTCAAATGCCAAAGTTCTACCAGTGGAGTAATGATTTGGTGCACAACTTGCGAACAGGGTCACGGCAGCTAGAGGGCGTGAATGCATGAGCTGGGGCTTCAGCAGACCAACATCAGAATGAGCTTGCTCATTGTGATTCAGAATGCGCTACGCTTCCGATACGCTTCCGAATTCCCTACATCCCGTAGTACAAAGCCTGAAGGTAGGTTCGACAGCGGCCTACAAACCATAGACTGCACCGACGTCATCACTTCATTTCTTGCAGCATGACAAAAACAAGGTAGGATGTCCACATGAGTGCCCTGCATTTTTAAGCTGTAATCAGCAGACTTGGGCGAGTAGAAAGTGCAAATGCTTTCAAAAACTCATGTTCCGTCGCGCATCATCGAAGAGGCCAAAACCTTGAGACGGCCTGGGATGTTCAGCGTTTTCGGTGTTTTCGCTATGGCGCGAACACTGATTCAACCTGATTTTATTTTGCGAAACGAAGGGGAAGGATCTTTGCACGGTATTTTCATGATTTGGGCTTTGGCCTCCAAAGTTGAGAGGCCAAGGCTTAGAGCAGATTGAGTTGCAAGGTTTTGTGTTGTTGCAAGCACATGGTGTTTCAAGACGTATGCAAAAGAGAACGCCAAACGGTGAGCCGGGGTTATTTGGTTTTTTATAGGTTTTTAAAGTGTGCATAAGCGTCAATTCTTTGGGGTTGTGTTCAAAAAGGGCCAGCAATACTTAGCCAAGGTCATTGAGGGTTTCAAGTACTCAAGCAACCCTAAACCCTTAACCCCACACCCTAAACCCTGTACTGCTAGGCCCGAGCGCGGGCACCCAAGTTCATTAGAGGCGTTGCTAGAGCTAGGGACCCTGAGGGCCTTAGGGCGGGCGGGTAGGGTGGCCCTACCCGCCCTACCAAACCAATATTTCAGGGGCTGCGCCACACAAGGCCCCGCACCCCTTCAATCAGAAACGAGCCCCCAATGATGCTGATGATGCTGGCGCAGGGGGCCAGCATGATCAGCATCATTGGGACTCCGGTTCTCCAATCTGATATCTTCCGGCACCCTCGCACGTTGTAACCTTGAAAATTCAGTTTTCAGAAACCTTTGTGCTCATGATGCTTTTTGGTGTAGTTCTCGGGACCTCAAAAATCCTTCAAAAACCCCTCGATGGGCGTTGCCCGATTTAAGGGGGCTTCTGGCCCACCATGTGCACGATTCAATAAGTCCGTGTCAATACAAACAGGAGTTGCACAGATTTAATCGAATGATCTTTGAGGGTCGCTGATGTCTTGCTCGTTTCTCTACGCGGAAACGTCCAACTCATAGTTTCCGAAGATGAAACGTGACAAAGATCTTGCCGTAAATCGCGTGACTCCTAGCAGCAGGATCACCATTTGATCGGCTACATTTGTTGGTTGATGAGTACCCCTTTCAACTGAAGGGCAACTACACCTGCTGTCTGGCATGCTCGCAATGATCTGATTTGAAACTACCTGCTGGGCAACAATAGGCTAAGCCCATGGTGAACCAAGGGCATTTTGTCGCCTCGCTGCACCCGCTGGACTGTTCGTCTTTCTGCGAACTGCCAGTCAGGATCGGATTCTCGTCACCGACCTCAAGCCATTAGGAAGCACACGATCCAGTATGATCGTGTTCTACAATCAGCTCGATTAGCCTCGCCTGGTGCAATGAATCTGCTCTGCTGCTTTCCACATCGTGTGCCTTGTGTCTGCATGACGGACTGCAAACTGTTCTTGGCCCCATTGCATCTCGTTTGGTCCAGGGGGCCTCTGAGCCAGCTGCTGGTGCAGGGCTGTTTCCTGGTGCACATTTTTCACGAAAAGCTGATTTCAGACTTCACATGCCAGCCTTCGGGTGTCCGATGTCGAGAGCAGCACAGCACCTGTCTGTCCATTGTTGCAAAGGCGCCAACACGAACTGCTCAGATTGCACAATGAATCTGAGGTAGGATCTCCAGACAGCTCCAGCAGCAAGCCCTGAAGGACCTCACTGGGAACTTGCAGACTCTCGCTTTCTCGTCCTGCTTATACTGGCCCTGGAAAGCCAGGCAGAATGCCATGTCACATGGTCTCGGCCATTGACGGCCTCGCTTGCCTGAACGCATTCCCAGAGATCCAAGTTTCTCGGATTAGTGGTCCAAGTCATGCCCGAATAACTCGCAGCCTGCAGCAAGGCCGGCTGCTGCAAGGCGTGCTATGATTTGTGAGAAATGGCGGCAGCACGGCAAAGCACCTACAAATCCTCTAGCAAGTGCAGATTCTGTGTCCAGCTCTTGCAGCAAGATCATGATGCTCATGGCATTACTTTTGTGCCAGAGCCGGATTCCGATGTCAGCTGGCAGTCCTTGAGGCCTCAGTTCTCAAAGCTCTTGGAGCCGCTTTGGCCAAAGGACTTCTGAGATAGGAGCCTGCCGCCAAAGCCTCGACTTCTGAACTGTAAAGCAGACCAAGGCAAGCGCATCACGATGCAGGAAGGGTACGTTCAATACTTTGCACCCGGCGTCACGCTTCAAGCCACGCCCGATGAAGAGGAGCTTGCTCTTTGGCGCAGATGCGCTCGGGGCCTTTATGTGCGATGGGTAAACGAACCGGCACGAAAAAGTTGCCGAAAGTTGCCTCCTCGATTTCGAAGAGCTTGCCAACACCCTGGAGCGCCTTAGAAATGATGCCAAAAGACACTACGTGTCTACGCACATTCCGCACTCTGATTGGCAGCGTAGCCCCGCAACCAAATGCTCGAACCATGCTTGGGCCGCGTCATGTGCCACTGGTGCTCCAGCCTCCGGAGCCTCCTTGGCGATGAATGCCACTTCAAGCTTGCTCCCCAAATGACATCCAAACACTCGCGTAGGAAGAACAAATGGTCGAGGTATTGGCATCATCTTCTGATGGTCCCCTGACATGTGTCTTTTCTTTGCATTCGGTTTTTTGGAGGTCAGAATGCGGGCCTGAAAAGGCCTTTGCAGCGATACACGAAGCCCGCCGTTCCCTCACGTCAACTCTGATTCCAAGCCTTTTTGCCCGACCTGTTTAAATTCCCGCCTCCCACAAGACGTCTGCAAGCCATGAGCGGACCTGAATTCAGGAAGCACAGGTTCTGCGTGAGGGGGCCCAGCCCGCTAGCCTTGTCGGGATCGTATAGTGTGTCTGCCTCGTGTGGCCGCGCATTCTTGTGACCAGACACTCATTTTTTGCAGGGAACTGTTGCCTCGCCATGAAGAAGAACACTTTCGATCCCATGACCACCATACAGCTTTCCGGCCTGTCAGAATTCTGGAAGCTTGCCATCTGAAAACAGAACCCAAATGCTCGGAACAAGACGGGCACTAAACTAAACTGACACCTGCATCAGGCTGAGAAAAAAGAACTGTTTGGATTGGCATGTTGCAGCAGCAGTGGCGTGCCCAAAGAGCTTCCCATCGAGAATGTGAGTCAGCAATGCATCGCAGCACGTCACTGCACATGCCTTGAACTAGGACTAGTGTTGCTGTGACTGCACCTGGGGGCTGCCCTAACACGGGCGGTCTCAGAGTTCCAAGGGCGGCCACGTTACCCTCGACATACAGTAGTATGCTAGAATCGTTACATGGTCCGGCCCTTTGCAGACACGGCCAGGCCCGGCCTCCACCCAGCAATAAGTGCTAGGTTCACTGCCCCTTGACGGCGCAAACAATGCGACTTGGCGAGGACACCAAGGTCTTCTGCCCAGACATGAACTTTAAAAACTGTTTCGAGATCCAGCGCCACATACGCTCAAGAGGCCCCTGACTTTAAACTGTTGTTCTCACACCATTTGATGACCCACGACTCTGTGCAGCTAAAGACTGACTAAGTTCATGCAGAATGCAAGCATCAATGCAAAGACAAGGCTGCCTCACAGACGGCGCACTGGTCAGCTCCTTGAAGCACGCCACTGAAAAAGCCCGACAAGTCCAGGTGATCAATCAAAGACTTGAACCCATTAGAACGGCAAGCCGAAGCACCGTGTGTGTGGCCATGCGAATGGTCATGAGAATGCTCATGAGAATGACCGTGGCCACTCTCAGCCTGCGGTCAACGGAACACTTTGCATCTCGGAATTGCCCTTTGCATCCCCTTGGAAGGCGCAGAGCCACAACATCATCGTGCAACTGAAGCTCTGTACCATGGTGCTGGCGCAATGCAAGGTCCCTGCCTGGGCATCGTCAGTACTGGCGGACGTTGTGGATACAGCTTGCAAGGAAGCTTCCAAGCCTTGCACCCGTGTGAAAGCACTAGACATCACTGGACACACGACTGGTGATTTGATTGCGCCGCTGCCTAAGGCACTGGCGTTCTCGACTGAACGCGCACAACCCCAAAATGTCGGCTAGTGACCTTTCCATTCTTGCGGGACTGCTCACGAAATTTGCATACCTCGCTTGAGCTTTTGAGCTTAGCCATGAAATAGCACAAGCTGAGTTTAGAGCTCTTTTCCTCACTTCGCTTCATGTGTCCCCTTCTCTCTGGCGAGTTTATGTTTCTATTTATGCCTGTCATTCATCATAGTCCTGGCTTCATGTCAAGCAAGGTTCTGGCACCAGACTGGACCAGTCAATGACCATTTCACGCACAGGTTTCTGTCAGCTGGCCTCTGGCGTACAGAATCTGTTTTTGCTTTTTCAAGAGCATCGCAATTATTCAGGCCCTGGCCGAGCATCTCCGTGCAAAAAATAGCAGTGCAAAGAGATTCTGATGTGAACAGATGCGGGTTTGTGCTGGGGTCTTGATTGAGGTTAAGAAAAAACATGAGAGGCAACGATAACATTCCAGAAAGATAGTGAAGAATACCACAAAAACAATGATAAGAAGATCCAGAATATGTGCTTGTATTATGCAAAGCTTATCCTGCCAATAAACATCGGCCTTTATTCCGCCGCACTCTTTTTGTTGCCTCACGTCATGTCATCATTTCTTGTTAGCCCTTTCCTGCCGTCTTCCTGCCTCCTTGGCTGTCCCTGTTCGACTCGTCTGAACACTGCACAGAATGTCCATCCTCCTAGGCCAGCGTGGCTGTAATACTCCACTAGGGTCCCGACACAGCTGCGAAGCTGCTCTCCAAGATCCTCCGCAGAAACGAAGCCAGCGAGCCAAGCCACACGAGTTTCCCCTGCCCCCTGTTGCGTTTGCATCAGGCTCCTTGCGGCTGGGTTAATCTCTCGCAATGTAGCTGCTGAGCGAACACGCTGCGTCTGGCCACTTCAAGCTGAAGCAGGCAGAATGCATGGGGAATGCTTTTGCACCTCTGCAACTAGATCAACCTTGTTGAGGATGAGCACGTCTGCGCAAGCAACCTCTGGAAGCTTTAGGGGACGTTAGCACCTCCGAAAGCGCTCAACGGGGCCTGCTTCAGCGCCTCTGCTTCTAGGCCGAGGTCTGTCTGTGGGCTCTCCTTGTCGGCCTGCGCTGTCAACCCAGACTCGTGCAAACGGGGCTGCACAATTGACCCAGGCAGCCTTACCCAAGTAGGACAGGACATGGTAAGCATCAACCAGGGTCACAACTCCATCAAGGTAGACACGGCCTCCCCATGCAGCAGACAGCGTCACACATGCCGGTAAGTCTGAAAGGCTCCAGCTTCCCAGCCCTTCATCGACCCAGAATACCTGAGTGGCAGCAAGCAGTGCTCTGGGCTAAGAATGAAAACTACCGGCCTCGCAAACGGACTCCGGGTCTGCAACACCAGTTGCCTGACACTTCAACTCGCGCAGCTCACCAGCCACAATCAGCCACCTTTGTACAGCATCACAATGCATCAAATGCCTCCACCAGAATGTAGTCGAAGCAGTTCTTCTGCTCCAGCAAAACATCCAGCGTGCCAATCAAACCATCCTGCTTCGTCAGAACTGCAACCAGCGCTTTCAAGGCGTTTGAAGGAAAAAAGATGAGACGTTCATGGCCTTCGCAGAACAACAAAGGCAGCCGTTCGGCAGCTCGTAGACGTCCTCAGACACTCAAGACCGAAGCATGCCACATTATGCCACTAAGAGCAGGCCAGGCCTTGATGGTGTCGCCCTTTGCATCTGTGAAAAGAGGCGCCTGCACAAGCTGTCTGAGATGAGACTTTTGATCCGAGGACAGTGGTCAGTAATGGTTGGCCGCCTTCCTGACAACAGCCATGAGGGCGGATCGCTTTTTGATAGATTCATGGTGGTTCCCCCAGAAATTGAGAAAAACCTCTTGTCCAGAGCAGAACTCTGCGTTCGAGTCACCATTTTTCCCCATTTCAGCCTGCAGCCCCCCCCGTCTCTTAAGGCCTGGCACACCAGCTTCCGCCACATCTACAATGCTTCCGCGACATGTCCTTCCTGCATCCCTCATTGCCGAGGCGGCCGCCACTTCAGCGCTAAATTCGATATTCACTGCGTGCTCAGACTCATCATGCGTTGAGCGCCTCCATCCCCATCTCTTCGGAAAACCTTCAAGACTGCTACACTGAAACATGGATGAGAGTACAAGTGCCAGGACCACTCCACAAGCAGCACCTGAGAGCAGCGCTCGTTCTGAATAACCGCAATCCGGTATCCATGATCTCTCTCCAGAATGTACCTCGAGGTTCATCGTCAAAGCAGGAGTTTGTGTGTGTTCCCACCTGCTGCGCGGCCTCAGCAACGTGGTCTTCCCGGCGCCCAAGGCACCGCTAAGGACCGTTACTGGGGTCCGAACCTCAAAACATCCATGTCCTTCACTTTCGCCTTACGGCTTACATGCTTCAAGGCCTCTCCCTCCTCGTCCTTGCCTTCACCTGCGAACTGCAGCACTCCGCTGCCACCGTGCTCTCAAAACTCCGCACGCTCAGAATCCGGCCATGTCTGGCTTCCATGCCACTAAGCCATGGAAATAGGCAAGATGTTCTAGTTGTCGAACAGGTGTCATCATGCTTGACGAATGATTGCCCGCACACTTCACACTGTTCAACATGTCATGTGCAACGCTAGTGCATTGTTCCTACTGACTCCTGTTCGGCTGTATCATGATCAGCAGTCGGGAACAACCCTTGCCGCATCACAGCTAGAGGGTGCCGACTTGGCAAATGCTCCAGGCCTAGTTGCATAGTTAACCGCGTGGACCTGCATGTCCTTGCAAGTGCCCAGAAGCATGAGTGAACTCAGCCGTTCCAGAGCAACGTGGCAAGTGCCATAGACCTAGCTCACTTGTCCTTGAGTATCTTGAGAAACTCCTGTGCAAACGGACAAAGCGTTTGTGTCAGGTCCACTCGCAATGTTCGGACAGCATCCTCGAACTCGAGGTTCTGGGACCCATCACCATCCTGCAGAGGCGCTCTTCCCAGCGCATTGCATGAGCCAAGGATGAGACGAACGCAGTCCAGGTCGCTAATCAGCTGGTAGATGGTGGTGTTGTCAGCCTGTGCATTCATGGCTGTGACCTACACAAGCAGGCCAGCATTGGGCATTGGCAGCCAACCTCAAAGCCCAAGGCTTGCATTTGCATTCGAATCTCCTGAATGGCGGAGCGGCGCATGCTGACTTGAAAGATCTTTACAGCTGTCAGACAAAGCTTCTGCATCGGGAAGGCAAGGGATCCAAGGTGCAGAGCGCCCCTTTTCTGCCAAACAATGCAGGCAGCGTGCTGTCGGGGTGGCATCATGGCCACGCTAGTCAACTCATGTTGACCACGTCCCTCTCGTGGCAGCCTTGCAGCATCTGATCATGCTGCCTTCACGTGGTCGGTTCTGCCGAGGCAAGGATTCCAGGTGCGAGTGTTGATGTCTGTCATGCAAGACCTTGCCATGCTCCCGGAGCACATTGCTGCTTCCCACTGGTCCAGACCATCCGCAGTCCCACCGGATCTTGGCCATGGCATCCATCACTTGTCTGCTCTTGTTCACATCAAGCGGGCACTATCGCCTCATCAAGCGTTATCAGCGCCTCTATGTGCGGCTTGAAAAAAATGAAAATCCTCAAAGCAGGGCTGATGCTGGCAAGTGTCGTTGCGCAGTGGCGTAGGGCAGCATGGAAGTCTTGAAGCCTGTCAGAGTCAAAATGCCATGGGCGGCGTCTCTAAGAAAACATCCAGGGCATCCCTTAGCCTCTTCTGCATTCGACTCAAGAAGTGGCGTCCTCCGCCGCCATAGTGTCGGTTGTGTGCCTGCAGCCAGGCAGCCACCTCTCGGTTTCAGGACACGCGGAGATGTCCACCTCCTCCGCCCGCCGCAGCCCCTGCAGGGTGACCCAGCTACACAACCAGGATTTGTAGTGTCATTTGAACACAGGGCCTCCTTCAACACAGTCGCCGTGTCTTTAGCAAGGCTACGCGGAGGTGTCGATAGCGCCTGCCTGAGCGTGGGAGGACTCTTATGCTGCAAGCTGTCGCACCTAGTATGAAATCCCTTTGCAAGGCAGCCTGGCACGGCACTGAGTGAGCATCATGTGGTACTTCAACTCGTACCTCTTCTGGGAACTGGGGTCTGTCACTACAACCTGCATGGACTGCATGGAGTTTCATAAGGCTCGTGCTCTGAACTTGGGGCTATGAGAGCTGCCAGGTCAGTGCAGGTTTGGAAGGCCTCGACCTGACTGAAAAAGCAGATCACTTCAGATTCCGGCCAACGCATCCGACTCGCATCTGTGCCACCGGCCGCTTGCTGAAAGATGCCGGCATCCTGGGCAGCCTGAGCCACAGAAAGCTCGCTTGGCGAAGAGGCTTTGGTGCTGATCGTACCGAGAGCTTGGCCATGGCTAAACCGTGGAAACCCCACACGAACTGCGCCCTTCAAAGGCTGAGAACAACTGACATGTTGAGCTAGCTGTTCTGCGACGGAAGGATGGCACCTCCAGAGCGGTTGTTCGCTTGGCGACAGTTGCTGAGCCGTGGTGCACACCTTGTTCAGGGCCTCAGGCAGACAGAAGCGGAATGTGGCCAAGGACGCAAGACTTGCTCATGGAAAAAGCTTGACTTGGCAGAGCACCTTCCTGATTCTGCCAACAACCTCTGTCATCTCGCTGGCTTTACCGCCACGACCTGAGCAACATGTACTCGGCCTGTCTGCCATGGATCCGGAACCCAGCCTCTCAGTGCAGACAAGCTCTGCAGCTCCACCCTGCGGAGCACCACGGACCATGCACCATACGCACATCTTTCAACAGCTGACACCTCAGGAAATCTCAGGAAGTCAGGAAGTTGTCCAAGGCCAGAGCTCCAGCAAGTCAGCCAACTTCCCGGCTTCCGCAGCCAGTGGAGCCTTCTGTCACTCTGTCCAAGCCAGGCCATGAAGACTGACGTGACACCTTCTTATACTCAGCCTACATTCCTCTCCCTTCGACTGTACTGTAGATCCATTGTACATTTCAATACATTTCATGGGCACAACAATCGAGCCGTTGCCATCGGTTCCTCCACCGAACATCTGTTGCAGGAGCAGCAGAAGCCATACGTCTGCAACCTGACCCGTAAGCTGCTCCGATTTTGACAAGTACGTTCCACATCCAACCTTCTTCTCCTCTCGACGACGGTCTCGAATGGGTAAACCTCTTGAAGAAAGCTCTCACTCTCTATGTGTCGAATGCCGTGCATTCAAGTTCCGGGCGTAAGTGTCCATCAGCTCCTGCCAAGCAAAACACAACAAAACCAGTACAAGTGCAGTGCTTGCTGGCTTCGGGCCTCATCCTGCGCCAAATCAACAGCAGCACGAGCCACCAAAATGATGCGACGGTCCTGCGACACGAACAAGCACTGCGATGCAAGCGAGTTCAGGTGACTCTCGCAAAAACTTGTGCACGACAAGAAACAACTTTTAGGATGGTGCCAATCCTTGGACCAGCCGTAGCTCAGCGTGACGTTTGCACAACAGGAGTGGTTGAATAAAGACGCGGCAAACCAGAGTCCACCCAGAGCCTGTGTTTCATCCAACAGTAGCGTAAGACTGTTCCAGGTCTCCGATCTTCGGCTGTTTGAGGCGACTATGGAAGTGACTGAATTGCGCAGCTGTCTGTCTGGCAAAGCGGGCAGCTTGACATCTGTGCCCTCGCTTCCGTCATTCATTTGACACAAGTACTTCTGGAAGATTGCAAGTCGTAGCTGGGGATTTTGCCAGGCCTTTGTCCCACTAGCGGAAGCCTGTCCATGGAGAGACCAGAATAAAGCCTGCTCGTTGATCTGTGCACTTGCAAGCTTCTGCATGCAGGCTTCGGTTAACTCTGGCAAGGCCGCGCTTGAAGCGGCACCACAACTCCTGGAGGTTGCCCAAGCCTCCTCCAACAGCAGTAGTTCACCTGCCTGGACTGGGCGGCTTGTGACGAGGCCAAGGCCCCGCCCTTCAAGAAGCCTCGCCTCCACGGGGCCAACATATGGCGAACATTGGATGCCGGAGGAATAGAGTCCTGCCCAGTCCAAGTCTGGCTCCCGCTTGAGGGGCGCAGACGCAAGTGCCGTTAGCAAAGCAGCGACGCGGTCATCATGCAGAGCGCTTCGCGCCCCAAGCTGCATCTAATGACATTTACATCTGACCGCAAGGTCCAGTGGAAGCTTATGCCTCCGGAGGACCCACATGTAGCCAGCTGCGAGAACTACCTACCTGGAGCCCAAAGAAGCTCAAAATTAGCAAGCCTGATGGATTAAATGCATCTTGGAAGGACTGGGTGGTGTTGACAACATGTGCCTTGGGATCAATGCTGCCACTGCCATCGGCGTCAAGGAGATCAAAGATCTCTTTCATCTCCTGAGACAAAGGATCTCTTCCAGACACATGCCACTGCACATTGCGAAATAAAGCGTCCTCTCTGTGGGAGGAGAGAAGAGGGGAACCCAAGCTTCTGGTAGACCTCGTTCTGACACACTCCACACAACTCCGACGACCTCTTCCGATGACGAACTACCTAAAAACCTCCTGTCATCAACAGCTACATGTACTATACAATCGCACTCAACTTGCTGTCCCAACTTGAGGTCGCGGCATCACGATCTGCAGCTCTTGCTCACATCCAAGGCGTTCATGGCCAGTATGCTACATAAGCCTTGCTCCTTATCCACAGGCTTCTCCAAACCTCTGCTGGTACTGACTGCTGTCGCAACAAGGCTAAACTTTTTGTGGACAGGCGGATACTGCCTAGTCACCTGCTCCTCGACTGTGGTCTCATACTACTTGCCATCATCTTGGGAGCCGATTCTCACAGAACACATGGCACGGAGTAAGTAAAGCCAGTAAAGCGAATCCCAAGAATGCAGCATGTCCGGCGCAGGAAAAAAAAAGGCATCTCTGAATCTCATCGGTCCCAGTAAAAACTCATGCGAAACTCTTCAAGAACTCTGAGAATTTGCACAACCAAGGTAAACGAGTTGCTATGCAGGTACCTGTTCCAGTGGAGGCATGGAACTAAGATAGACCGGGCATGAAGATCTGGACAATTCTGCGAACATGGCAAGTGTTCCCAAAGCACATATCAACACATGCTGTCCAAGCGAGGTCCACAAGATCAAGTAAACACAAACAATAATGTCCTCCGTGAAATTGAGCACCCCACTGATGCCTAGAAGGAGAGGTACTGCCGCCAGCTTTGTCCACACTCGAAGTATGAGCAGACTTAACTGGAACGAGATCACTGCTTCCAGTAGAGCGCACATCAAAAAAATGCAAAGATCCTAGTGATTCTGTAAGTTGAGCATCAAGACAAGAGAAGGGTTGAGAATTAGCACTTGATGAGGCGTCGTTTCTATGTCAGCTCCTGAGTTCCTCCTTCAGGGCTCTAGCTTCAAGGCATAGGGCATGGGGCTGGGGGCTGCGCGGAAGCAAATATATGCTCGTCTGTTCAGGAAGCTCTACTGATTTCTCTGTACCCAAAGCCAAAGCAAGGTCATCGGCTTTTTCATCTGCTGCGCTGAAGAAGGCATGGCCCACAGTTGGATAGTGCCTTGCAACAAAGGGATTAACAATTCTCTTTCCAAAGCTGATTCGAATCTCCATGGCCTGAAAAGCTTTTGCCACTGCACATCTCGCACTGCCGCCTCCTCCTTCAGCCGATATGTCTCCTAACAGTTGTACGAAGCTGGCTGTACAGAGCGGCACAGCTCAGCTGACATGCAAGAGGTTGCTGTGTAACTAGCAAATCTCTGTCCTGCTCCAAAAAGCACGAGAGATGTTGCCCTGGAGCAAGACCAGACATAAGCATAAAAGCATGCTGTGACTTGAGGAACACAGCACCTTGAAGCACTTGCTCCTCCAGCTGCCTCTCTCAAATGCAGCAACATGTTCAGCTAGGACCGGTCATGATGGGGCAGCGCCTTTCAGCCTCTTCGCAGAAGCGTGCAGACTGCAGCTCATGCCGACAAAGTACGGCTTCGGCCTCCAAGCCACAAAAACTTTCAAGATCACCAAAGCAGCATTGACTTAGCCTCCACATCTTGCTTCGCCTTTGCACTCACCTTGTCGGGTGATTGCGAGCATGAAACAACATGCCGCACCAAGATTGTGACGGATGTCAGAGTTCAACGTAATAGAAACGATTTGTGATGGGAAACATGATTTCATTCCATGGCAATAAATTTGACTGCTGTGTGTATAGGTTTGTTTGTGTGCGCTCATAATACACTCCAATGCTGGAAAGCGTGAATTAGCCTGAATTCTCACTCGTCACCTCCGTTATTTTGGAGGCTGTAGTGTTGCGCCAGATAATGGTCCAAAATCTTTGCCAGCGCGCACGGGCTTGCTTTGCCCAGACCGTGGTGGTGATGTATGTATCGCATTGCATCACCCTCGACAGAGATGAGACGTAGCTGTCAACATCTTGTACCTTTAGAGAAGCTGCCCTTCCCTCACTCCCTCCTCTGTGTTCCCCTCATTTCTTAGAATAGAACTAGAAGAGCGGCGATGAGATGCTGTGACATCACAGGTCTGTGGCGCAGGCGGCTTCTAAAGAGATGTAGGATGTTGCCGCCTCTGCACAGGACTTAGACTTTTGGCATTACTTGCACATACATCACATACTGAACAGATGGCCTCTGCCTTGGCTGCTTCGAGCTCCTGTCGCAGCTGGTTGATTTCCACCTGTCTGGGACGGCCGAAGCAGTTAGTCAGTCTCTACTGACCTGCCGCGCCAACCTCCTGTCTTCACCACCAGACGTTGCTGCAATCTGCGGCGTAAACCCAGGTGCCCACCTCGCGCACCTCGCCGTTCTCTTGGAGCAACTTTGAGAAGGCCTCAGCTTCACCTGAGCTAGCAAATGCGAGCCGCAAAGCAAAAAGACACTTCTTGCCCTGCGACACACCAAGCTGTCCACTTCGTCTAGCATTCGAAGCAGATGCCTCTGCCTCTTCTAGTCGTCGTTCAAGCCTGGAGAGCAGCAGCACCCAGCTTGAACAGAACCCAACTTGCAAGACCAAGCGCAAAACATTTCCCGCACCACAGCGGCGCTGCGACGATCCTCGTGGTTGAAGTCAGTATCTCTATCATCTCGTCAAGAATCAGCGACAAACACATTCTCCAGGTGTCGTGCTTCCTCAGCCAGGAACTTCCACGACTCTTCCTCACCACGACCTGGGTTTCGCGTGCGATGCTAAGTTCCGCAATCAAGAATGTTTGCTCGGGGTTTAACATTGCAGCTCTCTGTCTAGCTTCCGGTGCAGCTGGAGCTCCTCCACCTTTCGATATGGCCAGATACATTACAATAGTTTGGAGTAAGCAGCTTTGCATCCTTGATGGCTTTCAGCAGACATCACAGAAACCATGCAAATCCATGGAATGCAGAAGGTTCAGACATTCATGGCCTCGAGACGTGAAAGCTGGTCTTTGCTGGCCTGCTCTCTTTAGCATATGATGTGCAGGGCACTGCAGGGCAGCTGACGTGGCAAAGTTTACGCATGAGATGACGCCTGCAACTCCGCGTTCAATTCCAGATTAAGGCCTGGCGCAGCTTGTCACCGCATGTCGTATCCGCACTTGATACACTTGCCTCTTTACTCAAACTGTGTCGGGACCGCCAGCCAGATTCCGAGCAGCTGCCTGAAGCATGCCGAGGCATCTTCAAACCCCTCCACAGCACACGTGCCGTCGGCACCTCAGCAGTCTTGAACTCCTCCGACTTCTGGGCCAGCTGCCTTCCAGCCTAGCATCTGTTCCAGCCAGGAGGCATGGATAATGTACAGTTTAGACAACAGTCGCCAACCTGCGAACAGCTATGTTGACCTCATATCAATAAAGTCCCTTGTAATTGCAAGATCCAAATCCCAGAACGTAATTGCAAAATCCAATTCCAATCTGCCAAACAGCAAAATCAGAAAGCGATTGCTGGCTAGGTACTACTGAAGCTCCAGCTTATGGACCTGAATGCCCTTAATTACGGAGGGGGGTAATATGAAGCAGGCGTTGCTTCTCGCAGATCCTTTTACATATATATATATGTATATATCCATATCTTACTTCTGTAAGCTTTCAAGCCTGAAGAGGCCCCACTGAACTGCGATTATTGATAGCATGTTGGAAGTGTTTGTGTTTGAATCGCTGCACGTGTTCCTTTATGCACACGACGTGAATGGCCGCAGTTGCCAGTTTCGCAACTTAGAACTTGCTCGAGACTGACAGCTGTTTTATGACGAGATACGTAGCTTAGACCCATAGAGTCTTTGGAACACTTGCAGTCAACTTGGCGGGGTTTGGCAAGACTTTGTTGCCGAAAAATCTAGTCTGGAGGCGTCCAGCTGTGGAGAAGGCTCGAGGCCGGCCAGCTTCAAAGCCGTAAGACGGCATTTCGAAGGTTAGACTCGCATGGCAGTGTGTTTCTTTCAAGATCCTGTCTTTAAGCTGTCGAGGCCGGAGTCGAGGAGGTCAGGTATGTTCGCATATACCGTAATCGTCCTTCCATCCTTCCGGAATGCCTCACCCCTGTGCTTGAGGTCAGCTTTTCAGTTCATTTCGTTCTGCTTGCTTGCGCCAATGCAGCCACGCCAGGTCTTGGGGCTTGTTCCGCCATAGTGGTCAACTCCCTTCGGCCCCAGTACCCCCCTCCTGCCTGCACCAGCTTCCTCGCATCTGTGGCAGCCGCCTTCGCCTGTGCTTGTCTTGAGCCTGCCGCCCTCTCCAGTGAAGCATCGGGGGCCCGTCCCTTCCGCATCCTTCCGTCGCTTGCCCAGGCGACATTCGCGCTAGCGGTTAAACTCAAAGCTAAGCATGAAAGAGAGTACGCTCCCTGAGCATGCTGAGGTTAAGCGACACTCCACCTACATTGCTTCAGTTTCATGATTTCAGAGAAAACTCTGTCCCTTGAATCGCTCTGCTGCAATAAACATTAAGCACAGGACTATACATACGGCTGAAAGGTAACAACCGCACTTGGTCCCATTTCACAAGTGCAAGGAATTTACTTTTGGGCAGGAAATGTGTCAGTCGGCCGAAAACTGGCACCAACCCGCCGGGCCCCTGGGAGAGGGTTTGCAAGGGCTGGCTGGAGGTACCGAAAACACAGCGGAGATCTTGTCGGGGTTCTCGTTTTTAGCT